TTCCAAGATGTCTGGAACGATTTAACAAATGAAAGAGACTACAAAGAAATGTGTCATGTTCCTATGTTTCCAAGTCATCTTGGGAGGGGCACACTATCATAGACATCATCTCAACCAACAGCTGCAGATACTGTCTGGTAACAAGGGGGGTCGGCTTGTCTGTATGAGGCAAAGGTGCTGAGCCTAGGGAAATGTCTGATACAGACAGCCATGAGTACTCAAAGCGCCACATGCCAAAGAACTGAGATTGTACAAAGTAAAAAAAAAGATCAATTCTCAATGCAGTGTCTAGGTGAGCTGAAAAAGAAAAGAAGGAAGAAAGAGGAAACGGATCTTCTTCTCAGCAGTGGGATATCCTCTACATGAAGTCGTCGGTCCTGAGCCTAGGCAGAGTTGAACAAAAGTGTCTTTGGGAGATGGGACACACCTCAGGGATTGGCCCCAGGAAGTCAGCCAGCACCAGCTCCTGAGCTGGCTCAGCCTCCTGTGTGTGCAGTGTTCTCTGTCAGGCTGGACACAGGCTGCAAGGGCAGAGAGGAAACCTGCCGGAGTGAGCAACAGGTCACCTTCCCCCCCTGTTTTCCATTTCCTAACTGGAAAACCATTGCCTGTCTCTGAAATGCACTTCCTACCTGGATGAGAGACCTGGCCCACCCCGTTTCTCTTCTAATTTTAGTTTCCTTCCCTTTGCTGTGATGACATACTACACCTAAGAAGGAAGAGAGTTGTTGCCACTCACAGTTCAAGGTTACAGTCCACCATTGCCAGGGAAGTCACGGTGGGAAGGCTTGAGACGGTTAGTTACATTGCATCCATAGGAAAGAGAGACCAATGGATGAATGCATGCTTGCTCGGCTCACTTATTTCCTCCATCTTATACAGTTGGGTGTCTCTGCCCAGAGACTGGTCCCACCCCCAGTAAGTAATCTTCCCACTTCAAATTAGACCAAATCAAGATAATCCCTGCAGGCATGCCCAGAGGCCCATCTCCCAGGTGAGTCTAGATTTTGTCAAGTTGAAAATGAACAGTAACCACACCACCCCGGGAGCATGAACACACCAATACTTTTCTCCCTGAATTCAGCCTGTTCTATCAGTATTTCTTTTAAACAGAAGCATCCTGTGTCTATTCATAAAATTAAAGAGAAAGTCTTGACAGACCACTCTTTCAACTGTTCTTCCTCTCTCCAACCTCTACCCCAACCACACACCACAGCCCTGCTTTGCCAATCACTCCTTGGGGGGCATCTCTGCCTTGCCTAGGTGCCTACTGTCTAGGATAATGTGAGAAATGCATGGCCCTCCATGACTGAAGAAATTGTCTACTAAATTCCTTTAACTGAATATTATGCCAACATCATTCATATCCTTCCTCACCCAGGATGAAACAATCCAACAAAGCACACATTTAAATGTCATCCCTAACTACATGCCCAAACTCTCAATGTGCTTGGATATTTCAGTAAGGCTATATGTAGCCTTGCAATCAGACGGAATCTCACTCTGATAAAAACGTTTTTGAGAAGGGATCCTCTTAGTCTCTCCCACCCCATCAGGTTCCAACCTTGTTCCCTACCGGACAGCCACCAAAAATATACTTCCAAAGTATATTTTTCAAAAATAAACTTCCAATAAAGCTGGGTGTGTTAGTGTACATCTGTACAATTGGAGACAGTTAGTCCCCTGGAGCTCACTGGCCAGTCAGTCTAGCAAAATTGGTGAGTTCCGGGTTCAGTGAGAGACACTGTCTTAAAGAATAAAGTTGGGGGCTGGGGGGAAGGCAGTGGTTACACTACAGCTCGGTGGATAAAAGCACTTGTTGCCAAGTCTGATGACCAGAGTTTGATCCCAGATGAGGGAAGCAGATAGCAATCCTGAAAGCTGTCCTCTGACCTCTACGTGAAAATGAAGACATGTGTGCACACACAACTAAATAAATAAATGTAAAAACGAGAGGTGGAGTGTTTGAGGATGACACTTGACATTGACTTCTAGCCTCTACATCCACACATCACACAGTGCTTGCACACCTGTGAAACTCCTACACACACATTCCCTACTGTGTCCATACTGCTTCATTGTAATAAAAAAAGATATGTCTACTTCCCTTCCCTCTAAGCAAAACTACATCACTGAACCTATCAGAGGTAAAGAAGGAGGAGAAGGAGGAGGAGGAGGAAGAGGAGGAGGAGGAGGAGGAGGAGGAGGAGGAGGAGGAGAAAGAAAAGAAGGAAGGAAGGAAGAAAGAAAGAAAGAAAGAAGGGAGGGAGGGAGGGAGGGAGGGAGGGAGGGAGGGAGGGAGGAAAGAAAGAAAGAAAGAAAGAAAGAAAGAAAGAAAGAAAGAAAGAAAGAAAGAAAGAAAGAAAGAAAGAAAGAAAGAAAGAAAGAAAGAAAGAAAAAGGACAGAAAAAGGAAAGAGAACAGATGGGAGCGTGGCTACCTGTCTCCTCCCCTTACCTCACCACAGCCATCCGAGTGTTGAATTTTATTGTTCCTTCCCCTTACAAGAACAGGTGGACTTTGTCAAGTGAAGCTGTTCTTTATTTTGTTGGTTCAAAACTGAGATTAGTCCATAAGAAGAGAAGAATAATTCTAGGATATGTTGCCTTTTCTCTCTCAAAATGTATAATCATGAGGTAATATCTCCTGGTTGCTTGGACATTGTAATCTGATTTGTATAAGTCAGGCTCAAACAAGAAAGAAAATACAAAAATAAAATCCATTTTCTAATCGTCACTTCCAAGTCAGATGTCTTCTTCCAAAATGTGAAACTTACTAAAGTATTTTGATCCCCTGAACTCCAATTACCTTATGCAGAATCCTTTTTAAAAGATGGTGTGGGGAGGGGGTGGTGTTTAGCACGTGTACTCGCCATAGAACCCATCAAGAAGTAAGAGAAAAACTTTTGGGACTCAGTTATCTCCTTCTACCATATGGGTCCCAGGAATCCAACTCAGGTGCTCAGGCTTGGCAGTAAATGCCTTCAGCCACTGAGCCAGCTTCTTTGGTAATCCGTGCCGTATTCATTACAGTGCTCTCCTTTGGTAAATGAGATTAGCATCGGATGAAAAGTGTATGATGAAAGACACTGTTAAAAGCAAGCAAACACCCAGTCACCACCCACCCACTATTACTGCCCCATCCCTTCCAATTAACATTGAATCTGAAATTGATAACCTGTTATCACATACAACCGTCCCATCTCCCTGGTGAATGACAGAAGCAGACAAGGACCGTTCACTTCCCACTTTTTTGTCCCCAAGATTCTAAGAGGGAACTTTTGGACATTCCCCCTATACAGCTGAGGAGACTGAGGCCCCAAAAGGAAGGTCGCCTCAAGAGACTTGTTCAGTCAATTCTCTTTTGATGCCTTGTGGCAGAAATCTTTTAAGTCTGTGTGGACACAAACCTCTGAAGACACTAGCATTTCTAGTTGAGAAGTGCATACCTGTTTCTTCCTTGAATTTGCTCTGGGAAACAGGCCTGCTGACAGCACAGATGTAAGCGGAGAACAGCAGAGCTCAGGAAAGGGGTTGGGAATAGATGGCATTTCCAGAACATCCAGATCTTTCTTTTTTCTCCTACACCAAGAGAACATAGGACGTCATTTACATAAAACAGAATATAAACTATAATTGCTGTCAGGGGAAAGAGCGTTTGTTAAGGCTAATGTGCACTTGCTCTGTGACAATGCTAGCACTATACAAGTGTACACAAAAGGGCTGTGATGTATACTACCTGTGGGTCAGAATAAAATATGCTAATTAACACAAATAATTCTATAGCACCACCACCTGAAAAAAGAAAAAAAAAAAAACTAAAAGCTCACTAGGCATGGTCACTCCATTTCCTGCACTTGGATTTTCCCGAACACCAATACAGGCTACATCATGATTTATGCAAACATTACCCCAAGGAGTCAGCCATTGCCTGGCGCCTATTAAATTGACAAAATCTGTAAGCTACATCCAATGAACTCATCCCCAGGAATTTCTACTCATCACTGCTGGAAGTTATGATTTATTAAATATAGATGTGGTTCATCTCATTTCAAATTTCATTCACAATGTTGCCCCCACACAGTCTGTTAATTTTTCAAGTGCTTATAGATACCGAACATCAAGGCAGTCCTTCTGGGAAGGTAAGTCAATAAAACGTGTTAGCATGAATGTACTCTAGCCCACTGGTGAGTTATTTTAACTTGACTGAAGTCAGAGCACTTTGCAATCCTGACAAAGAGGCGAGAGTGGTATTTACATGTGTGACTGCAAAGGGCCACAGATTTTTATGCTGGTGTCGCCTTCTTCTCTCCTAAAGTATGACAACTCGGACGGCAGTTAGTGCTGATTTCTGTGGAGATGGGAAACCTTTGAAAGCCTCCGCTCTTTCCTGTGGAACATAAAGACTGCTCAAATGTCAATCCCTGCTTCGCGTCCCCGGGGTCCTTGGAAGACTCTATGTGGGAGGTGAACGCATTCACGCTTCGGTTTTTGAAGCCTATAGTGTAGTATGAAAAGGGCCACCCAGCAGCCGAGTGTGGTCAGTCTGGAGCGTGGCCTCCCGGTTCACACTGAAGGGCAGAGGTGAGACAGACGGTTCTCCACCAACCCGTGATGCCTATTTATAACAGGGCACCTGGAGATCCTGAGACCCTGCTGACCCCGCCGGGGCTGGCTCCATGGGAATTGTCTGCAGACACTTTCAAAACTTGGTCGGGCTCTGGGCACACACTCACCCCTGGGCCGCCTCCTCACCCCCAGCAGGCTGCGAACCCGGATGCCACCCCCCACCCCCCACCCCCTTCCGAAGCTGCCTACCTGTCTGCGGCACCACCGTAGCGGGTCGCGTCGGAGGCGGGCGACAGCGCGTGCAGTCCGGGGACCCGCACGGGGTCATGGGCGTCGCCCCTGCCCCGGGCGACGCGGCACACCTGCACCGCCAGCGGCGAGTCCTCGGCGGCCGCCCGGCCCGCGGCGCTCTGCCCCCCTTGCATGGATGTGGTCATGGTCGTCGGCCGGGGGTCTGGGGAGTCATCGACCGCGCGGCGACCGTGGGGAAGGGCTGGGTGCTGCGAGCCGTGGCGCGCGGGTGCAGGCAGCGAACGCCCTGCAGGTGCGGTGGCAGGGCCGCCTGCGCTCACGGCCGGGGCGGCTGGGACGTGGTGGGGCGGGGAGCGGAGGAGGGGCGGGGGCGGAGGAGGAGGGTGGGAACGTGGAGGGTGGGGACCGGGAGGAGCGGTGGGGGGGGGGGGCGGGGAGGATGGCGCGCCAGCCTGGCGGACCCTGTGCGGTGGCCTGGGCACTCGGGGGCGCTGGTGTCACTTTCCAGCCGCGCTGGGACCTCGGCCTCTGGCTCCTGAGGCCCCATCGCCGCCTTCCCAGGTGGGCAACGGAGCACCAGGCTGAATCCGGGAGTCCCACAGGCCCAGTGCCACTCTGGGCTAGGAAGACCGACAGGCAACCTGCATGGGTCAGGGCAGACTGATCCTTAGACCCTTCCTTGCCAGTAGGGCCACCGCCACCGGAGATCACCTAAACTGTGGTTGGAGCCTCAGGACAGACCCCACAGTACCGGGATGCCAGGGGGTCATAGGGTTAGGTTTACCCCAGTCTCCCCCACGATCCCCTTCTTTTCTCTCCAGGGCAAGAGATGTTGTGGAGTGAGGAGACGAAGGAACAGGGTTGCTGTCTTAGAAAAACTCCTTTGAACTGGTGAGGATTCTCAGTAAAGCCTGAATGAACCTGAAGGTGTCTAGGATTATTAGAAGGGCGATTTTTGTTTGTTTGTTTGTTTGTTTGTTTTTGAGAGGGGCGGCATTTTTCTTATTCTACCCTGTTCTCCCAAAAGCTCCATGATTCTAGTACTCGCCTCATTTTATACATAAGGATATTGGGGCCCCAATCTATCCAGTGCTTTGCTTAGCTCTTAGTAACTGGTGCAGTTAAGATTACAGCCCATAAGTCCCCATCACAAAATCCCAGACAGTGACATAATAACCACATTGTGCTCCTCCTCCGAGGCAGCAACCACACATCCAGACCTCCGTTCCTGCTTTCCACGAAGTGTCCCACACCCCTGTGCACTGTGGAGGATTTCCAGATCCTCTACACGCTCTTTGTTCTTTGACCGACTTAGGTATCATCTGGCCTTGGCATCTGTTTCCCTAACCTCCACGACCTCTGCCTAAGGCAAAATAAACATCCCTCCTGAAAACGTGAGCAGCCCTTGTTCCCCTGCCCGGACGTCCTCCCCCATCAGAACATCGGCCCCAAACACTGGTGCCAACCAGGGGTCACTAGCTTCCTGGTTAAAGCCTGGGGACTCCATGAACTGAGAACATCTGAGTCAAAAAAATTGGAAATATCTAACTTCTTTATTTTCCTAAAGTCAAAATTAAGAGTCAAAAAAGGACATGAGTGGCCATGGCTGTGTGGAAGTTGTGGTTCCCAGGAGGCCTTGTCAAAGGCAGTGGCCAGTCCAGGACCAAACAGTGGCTTTCCTGGGGGATAAAACTAAAACTAACGGTCATAGCCAAAATTTTTCAATCACGTACGCCAAGCAGGCTCCTCGCTCACATCTCACTGTCTTATTTATGGCCTGGACTATACATGTGGGTTTGAAGTGCATTTAATGGCAAAGCACTGTGATATATTGAAGCTGTTCCAGCAAAATCCAAATGAGGTGTGTGTTTATAGATATCTTTAGCGAAAGAAAGAAAAACTAAACTTGCCGTTATCATTATCTAAATTTTACCCAAAACACTTTGCAGCTGTTCCTCCTCTCTAAAAATAATAATGGGGTGTGAACATTGTCACAGTAGAGTTCATCAATGACTAAAATTTGTTCCCTCCCAATACATGCTCGCGCGTGTGCACACACACACACAGTGTCTCTGTCTCTCTGTCTCTGTCTCTGTCTCTGTCTCTCTCTCTCTCAGTAAAAGAGCACTCTATTTTTATCTTGTAGAGGAAAGACGGTGGAGAAGCTGCATATATGTCTTAAATCACTGAGAAGACCACCATCCAGCAATGAATTCTATTCAACTTCCCAGGATAACTTCTTGATGCAAAGGAAGAGCCTTTGCTGATTCAGATGAGATTCCAAATGTTCCTTCCCTCTCCAAGTATCCTTATACTCAGTGAAAATCACGGAAGGATCCACTTTCAGACTCTGGTCCTATAATCCAGTGGGTAGAAATTATAAGGCCTTTACAAGGCATTACAAGACAAGAAGAAAGAGAAAAAGGAGTAAATATCTAGCAATGAGATTCTAAATACTTTGTATCAAATTAACTACCACTAACACCTTGAGTATTTGTACCAAGAATCATCCAAATACATATGAAGAAAAATGAAGTTGTTTTCATTTAAAAAAGGTTTGTAGCTGAAGTTTTCTCCAGTCCTGCCTGGCCCACGGTCAGGACAAATCTCTCTCACCCGCCAGTCCTGCAGCTGCTCAGACACAACCGAGTAAACACACTGAGACTTATATTGCTTACAAACTGTATGGCCATGGCAGGCTTCTATCTAGCTGTTCTTATATCTTAAATAAACCCATTTCTATAAATCTATACCTTGCCACATGGCTCGTGGCTTACCAGTATCTTACATGTTGGTACTCATGGCGGTGTCTGGCAGCGTCTCCTGACTCCGCCTTCCCGTTCCCAGAATTCTCCTCTCTGCTAGTCCCACCTTTACTGCCTGCCTGGCTACTGGCCAATCAGTGTTTTATTTATCAATAAATCATAGCAACATATATTCACAACATACAGGACATCCCACAGCAGAGGTTTGCAAGAAATTATTCTAAACAAGAGACTATGTGTTATAAAAGGTATAGGACACTGCTGGAACTACAGAGAGACTTTTCTACAAAATGGGGGGTGGGATTATTATATTTGGTTGTTGTTGTTTGGTTTTGTTTGTTTGTTTCTCCTTATACTGGCAAAGGCTCCTGGGACAATACAGAAGATATGTTGGTACCAAAGAACAGGATGGCTGATCTGGATAGGGTTTGGTCCTTTGGATTTGAGCCTGTCAGCTTGCAGACTGCCTGGCTCCTCCTTGACTGGGGGCCTTTTCTTCCCTTCTGCACCTCCTATCCTGAGGAACTCCAGCCAGCCTCCACCTTGAGGAAAATATATCATCCTCCTCATTCTCCCTTCCCCTTCTGCTAGTTAGTCCTTCATATAAGGAAAGACAATACACTCCCCAAAAAGAAATACACCAGGCCAGTGCTCCAAATGCCCTGTGCCTCCTCCTAGCAAGATTTTCATAGCAACTTGTTGTGCATTATGCTCATTGGTTAATTTTTTATTCAAAAAGCAGACAGGCCAGTAGTTGGGCAGGAAGTTAGGGGGAAAACCAAACTGAATGATGAGAAGAAGGAGGGCAGAGTCGAGAGAGAGAGAGAGAGAGAGAGAGAGAGAGAGAGAGAGATGCCAGCTAGCCACAGAGCAAGCAGGACATGTAGAAAATGAGGTAACAAGCCATGAGCCACATGGCAAAACATAGATTAATAGAAATGGGTTAATTTAAAGTGTAAGAGCTGGCTAGTAACAAGCCTGAGCTATCGGCTGAGCATTTACAATTTATATTAAGTCTTTGAGTCAGTTATTTGGGGAGCAGCTGCTGGGATGGGGAGAAAGTGGTTGAGACAGGAAACATAACTAGTCCTGAGTTTTACTTTAACTAACTCTCCACCCCTAAACATGGTCAATTAGGTTGTTTGGTATTGACCTTTATACAGACAGAATCATTTAAGTGTTTTACTCTTGATTCCATTCCCTGACATAATGTTTGTGCTGTTTTTCCATGTTTGCATGTAACCGAAGGCTTGTACTTCTTTGCTATGAAAATAGCACAATGTATGTACCTATGGTCATGCAGATAGACAACTAGGCTCTCTGTAGTTCTGACTATAATTAACACTGTTCCAGAGATCATGTTGTACCCTTTGTGTGAATATGCACACATTGTGGAAGGTGTAAATGTAGCAATGGTATTTTGAGGTCATAGTATGTGAGGGTCAGCTTTTGTCAATAGTGCTGGTTTCCAGATTTATTGCAACAGTGGTCATCACTGTCATAAGCTTCTCTTATTCTTCACAGCCTTGATATAGAACATATGACGAGAATTTTCAAAGCAAATATTGTCATGAATGCAGTAGCAATCCCGAGGAATAGGATTATACTAAAAAAAAAAATAACTATTGAAGTTGTGTAAGTTTTCTTGTTCTTATTTTCCATTTGGAGTCAATTCAAATCTCTTACAAAATTTTATCACTGGTTATTTGCTTTGTAAAAAAATTTAATAGAATATTTATTTTATGTTTACAGTGCTTTGTCTGGATTCACATACCGCATGTACATATCTAGTACCCTTAGAGGTCAGAAGATGGCATCAGATCCCCTGCAACTGGAGTTACAGATGGTTGTGAGCTGCCGTGTGGGCACTGGGAACTGAATGTGGGTCATCTAAAGAATGCCAGTGCTCTTGTCCATTGTACCGATCTCTGGGCCCAGTTATTTATCCCTTTAAAAACTCAGTTACACATCTCTTTGAATTTCAGTTTGCTAGCTCTTCATTAGATTTCAAAACATCTTCTTCCACTCTGGGCCTAACATTTTAGAGCAGTGGTTCGCAACCTTCCTAATGCTATAGCCCTTTAATATATTTACAGGTCATGCTGTGGTGACCCCTCAGCCATAAGATTATTTGTGTTGCTACTTCATAACTATAATTTTGCTACTGTTATAAATTGTAATGTAAATATCTGATATGCAGGATATTTTATATATGACCCCTGTGAAAGGGTCATTTAACCCTCAAAAGGGTTGCAACCCACCATTCTTTTAGCCTGTCTAGCGACCCACCACTCTATTAGACTGTCTAGATATCTCAAAGTAAACAGAAGTTTTAAAACATAATATAACCAAATTAGTCTTTGTCATAATTATATTTTTAATGTCCTGCACAGAAAGTTCACTTGTACAATTCAGAAATTAATTGTTTAGCTTTGGCATTTAAATATGATACACTCAGGTTGAATTTTTTGTTTTGTTTTTCATTTTGGTGTAAGGATGAGAAGATGAGGCAAGAATAGTCTTCCCTTTCAATTTAAATGCTTATCTATTCACCAATCTATTCTTCTATTTGCTTAGTTATCAATAATTATGTCAACATCATACTGTCCTGATTGCTATATTACACTGTCCTGATTGCTAAGTCCTAAAAACAAATTTTAATTGCCATTAAAGGAAAGCTTTTCATCCTGATCTTTTTCAAAGATTGACTTAATCTATGATGAAATTAGCTTCTAGAATTCTACAACGGCCATTTGGGATTTTCATTGGATTGCATTTCATCCATATGTCAATTTGGTTAGAAATCATATTTTTAAATGAACTTTATCTTAATTAGGGTTTCTGCTGCTATAATAATCATCATGATCAAAAGCAACTTGAGAAGAAAAGGGTTTATTTCACCTTACAGGTTTCTTGAAAGAAGTCAGGACAGGAACTCAAGGCAAGAACTCTGCAGAAGGAACTAAAATATAAACCAATGCTGGTTACTGGCTTGCTTCCAGGGCTTGCTTATCCTGTTTTCTGCTATCGCCCAGGATCACATGCCCAGGAATGGGCACTGTCCACACTGAAATCAAGAATATGTCCCACAGACTTGCCTACAGGCAATCTAATGGAGGTATGTTCTCAAGTAAGTTCTGTTTTCTAGATAACTCTAGCTTGTGTCAACTTGACAAAAAAAAAAAAAAAAAAAAAAAAAAAAAAGATTAACCAGGACAAGCTCCTACGTAAACAATCGCCTTGTCTTTCTACTGATTTATGTCTTTAATTTGCTGCAGTGGTTTCCATGGCTTCTAAGTAGATATGCACATCTGTGATTAAACATCCTTCGGGCAATTGTTGGCTGTTTTGGTGGTACTAGGGCTTAGTCTCAAGGCCTTACGTATGTTAAGTAAGCATTCAACCACTGACCTGCACCCCTTCTCCATTTTTTCATTATTGATTAATCTTGTTCTTTGACAATTTCACACATGTGTATAGTGGTGTAGTACATTCTGTTTCCTAACACCCACAACCCTCTCTTAATCTCCTTCCCAGCCCTGTTATTCCCTACCTCTTCCCCACAGGTTTCTCCCATATTCATGTCTTTTTGTTTTGTTTTGAGATCCTTGGATTTTAACCTAGACCCTGTATGTGGCCAAAGGTTTGGAATTATCCACTGGAGTCTGATGAGCTCACCTTTGGACATATAACTTAGGACAATGGCTTTCCCTCCCCAGAATCCATCAGGTGCCAATAGTTCAGCAGGGAAGGGTAGGGCCCCATGAGCCCTTCCCTGATCTACAATTAACAGTTGACTGACCCAACTCACTCTTTGTTCTTCGTTTTGAGGCACAGTCTCACTAATTTTATCAACTTCGCTTAGAATTCATTCTGTCGTCCCATGGGTGCGATCCTCCTGCCTCAACCTCCTGAGTAGCTGGAGTTCCATGTTTGTGCAACCACATACCCATAAACAATGACAGTTAATATTATTCCACTATCTTGAATAATTTCTTTAAATTTTTAGTTTCTATCATTTTTTATAATTAGAAAAATAACTGAATTGGGCATTGTAGTTTTCCTGTTTGCTTAGCAGCTGCAAATAAATCTACTGATATTTTAATTACCATGAAAATGTTTGTACAAATCTATCTGACCTTATAATTTTCTCTGTGGGAAACTTCTAATAAATATCTCAGTACATTTAGTAGCTATGTATTCTGATTCTTACTCCAACAAATGGTATTTTCTAAGAATTTATCACTTTCATCTAAATTTTTAATGTTTTAGTAGAAGTTTATTTTTATTTTTATTACGTGTGTGTGTGTGTGTGTGTGTGTGTGTGTGTGTGTGTGTGTGTGTGTGTGTTATGTCTGGGTTGTTGCCTGCAGAGGCCAGAAGAAGGTGTCAGATCCCTTGGAACTGAAGTTACAGGTGGTTGTGAGCCGCCCAATGTGGGTTCTAAGAACTGAATTTGGGTCCTCTGGAAGAGCATCAAGCAGTCTTAACCTCTGGACCTTCTCTCTAGCACCCTCTCTCCAAGTTATTTTTAATATCTGAAGCTTTTAGTGTATTATCCCATTTCTAAATCCTAACAGTTAATATTGATGCCTTCTATCTTTTTTCCTGATTATATTCAATAATGATCAATTTGCAAGCCTTTTAGGGATGACCTCATTTGTGTGTTCTGTTCTGTTGATACCCTAGTTGCCTGTTCCTGCTTCCTTTGGTTTATTTCCTTCATCCCTGCCTCTCTCCTTCTCTCCCTCCCTTTTTACCTCTCTTTCAGCTTCAGTGCTGGAGATAAAAACACCAGGACCTATGAAAGTGAAACACTGTACCACTGACCTGTATCCCAAGTCTAATCCCACCCACCCCCCTTTTTTTGGTAGAATATTGGCATTTAATTTTTTTCTAATATTTACATTTAAAGACCTACATTTCTGTCCAGGGATAACTGAGATTCTTCAAGCTTTAATTCATTTTTATTTCCATTATTATTCAGCCCAAAATATTTGACAGTTTCCATTGTAGCTAACATTTGATTTGTTCTTTTTAGTATAAAATCTAACTACATTGTTGTGACATAATATACACTAAATGATTCTATACCTTGGAAATGTATTGGAAGTTTATTTATGGTCCAACTATAGCTCATGTTTATATCATCTGTGTATCTGAGAAGGAGTTTTCTGCCCTTGGTTGATTTATTGTTTTAAGTATTCACCAATTAGACTAAATGTACTCTCTGTGTCTAAATTCTCTAAATTCTTACTTTAATTTCCTAAGAGTTGTTAGATTAAAAATAGCCCTACAATTATGGATTTATTTATTTATTTTGCTTTATTTTTCCAGCTGTTGCCTTATATATTTTGAAGCTTTGTTTTTAGGAGCTAAATTTTAATAAACTTCTAAAATTAGAATACTGTGTATTCTTGGAAATTTTAATATTTTGAAATGTCCTTCTCTATCCCTCCTAATTTTTTGTCTTTAGTCTTTGTTTATTATTATTTTGGATCAGCTAGGTTCCTATAATACATCTTTTCCACACTTTCAATTTTCAATATTTCAATTTCTAAGAATTTTATTCATTTATTGAAATAAGGTCTTATGTTTCCTAGCTTGTCTTTGAAATTCCTATGTAGCTGAGAATGGTGTTGAACTTCTTATCCTCGGGTACGTACATCAGAAATGCTAAGATGGAAGCAAAGGATCCACGTATGCCAGGTGAGTATTCTTACCAACTGAGCCACAACCCAGCCTTGTGTCTGTGCATTTTAATAGTGTTTTCATAGATGACTGGAACTCTTGGCTTAGTTTGCTTTGCATCCATTTAGATAATTTTTTTTTTTTTACTGAAAACTCTCAAACATTTTGCTTCACTGTAGATGAATTGCTAAACAGTCTTAGTAAAAAAAAAAACAAAAAACAAAAAAAAAAACACGGAACCAGATATAGGGGTAAAAACCTGAGAGAGATCAGAGGAATAGGAACAGCCACAAGCTAACCTCATCTCACAGATACCTCAGCTTCCAAATGTGAGTGATTTCCTGTCTACCCACGTCTATATGCCTTGCTGTTCTGTCATCTGATTTGCTCTCTCTGTCCAGCTACATCACTTCCTCTTCCTCCCCAGCTCTGTCACTTCCTGTCTGTCTGTACAGACCTCCAGACCTCCATGGTTAACTAGTGTTGAAATTTAAGGCGTGTGCCACCACACCTGGCTCTGTTTACAGTGTGGCCTTGAACTCACAGAGATCCAGACAGATCCCTGCCTGCCAAGTGATAGGATTAAGGGCGTGTACTACTGTTGCCTGACTTCTTTGTTTACTTATAACACCTTGCTTTTTCCTCTGATCTCCAGGCAAGCTTTATTTATGAAAGCACAAATAACATATCACTACACTCCACTAATATCATATTCCTATTTCCTTTATTTTTCACTTGCTTTTGGATTGTTATTCTTTTTTTCCCCTCCCCACTCACCCACTTATTCCATGAGGTATGTTCTCCATCCTTCTTGACCCTACCCCCAAACCCCAAGAAGATATACTTTATGGGTGACATCCAAGTACATCTATGCACTCAAAATGTGGCTTGGTTTGTCCAAACAATGCACAGCCTGAGACTGAACTATAGGAAGCGTCTGAAGTTTGAATATTTATTCTCTTTATACCTCCCTTCCAGGTTGTATGCTTTCTCTCCTGGAATGAACCCCCACTGTAGTGGGTACCAGCCCCTAGGGCATAGCCTCTGAACTAGCTTAAGACCTGAGAGGCATGTACACCTCACTCTCTTCTCTCCCTCGTGGGCTTGGACAGGGTGACTGACTCAGGCAGCAGAAGCAGATATCAGCCTTTCAGGGCTCTGTGACGGATTTGTCTTATCCTTTTTAGTGAGTTGTTCTCCCCAATTTATATCCTAATAAATTCCCTAATACTCCTTAAGCGACTCCCGTGGATTTATCACTATACCCACTGCATGTGTAGACATTCTCTTGTCATGGAATGCCATGGGAATTTAGGTTCTGGGGCCTGTACTAAAGGTAAAAGTCTGGCTCCTACAATTTCTGTAAGCAATTGTACAATAGCTTTTTATTGTCTTATACACGTGGTGTTTATGCCCTCATCAACTGGCAGACATTTGGTTTCCTTCCACTTTTCTTTTGGTTATTATGAACAATGCCGTAGAGAACATTTTTGTACCTTTTTATATATAAACACAATTTTACTTTTCTTTGGAATTGCTGCGTTGGTAACTCTGAGATTAATCATTTGAAAAGCTGCCAGACGTTTCCCAAAGAGTCTGCACCATTCTACTTTCCCATCTACTGGTGCCCGAGTGCTCTGATTTCTACATATCCTAGCCTTTACTATCTTTTCATTGTAGCCGCTCCAGTGAGGAACAGGTTGTACTGTTTTGATTTTAATTTGTATTTCTCACATGGTTAAATTGTCTTAGTCACTTTTCTATTGCTATGACAAAACAGCGTAACCTAGGCAACTTATTAAAAACAGCATTTAATTTGCAGTGGGGATGATTGTTTACAGTTTCAAAGGGTGAGTCCAGAACATCATGGCATGGATCAGGGCAACAAGCAAATAGGTATGGCTCTGTAACCGTAGCTGAGAGCTTACATCTGATCCACAACTGTGAGGCCAAGATAGATGTAACTGGCAATGGTGTGGGCTTTTCAAACCTCAAAGCTTGTCCCCAGTAACATATCTCCTCCAACAATGCCACACCTCTTAATAGTTCCAGAATTATTCCACCAACTAGAGACCAAGCATTCAAACATATGAGGACCGTTCTCATTCAAACTACCATATTAATGAAGTACCTGTTCATGTGCCTACCAGCAATTTATGTATCCTCTTTGGGGAAATGTGTATTCAGAGCCATTGCTGTTAGTTTTTGTTTTGTTGGTTGTTGTTGTTTTGTTTTGTTTTGTTTTGTTTTGTTTTGTTTTGTTTTGTTGCAGTGCTGAGGATAAAGCAATGGCTTTGCCCTAGAAAGGCAAATGCTCTATCACTGAGATACACCCACTCTATTTACTAATTTTTAATTGAGCCTTTTTCGTCTTTATTGGCTTCAATGATCTTTTACATAGTCTACATGAAAGTTCTCTATCGGATTTATGATTGGCAAATATTTTAACATATCTTTAATAGCATTTCTGAATCACAGAAAGTTTACTTTTTTAATGGGATTGGTTGTTTTATTTTGGCCCTTGTGGCTTTGGTAGTATATCTGCAAAGGCTTTTGACATGTTTCCTGAGTCACAGGTTTGTACCTGTCTTTCTTACAGGAGTCTTAGTGGCATTTCTGACTTTTAAATCTTTCCTACATCTTAAAGTTAACTTTCGTATATCCTGTGATAGAAGAGCCAAACCTCATTATTTTGCAGACATATAGGCAGCTTCCCCACTACCACTCACTGAAAACTCAATGTTTTTTACCTACTGATTCCATGACACTCCAGTCAAAAAACCAATTTGCCATAAATATGAGGGTTATCTCTATACTCTTATTTCTAATCCATTAATTTATATGTTGGTGTTGTGTTAAACTCTACTATTATTAGCTCTATAATAAGTTTTCAATGTTTAAAATCAAGAATTATGAACTCTCTAATTGCATTCTTCCTTTGAAAGATTACTTAATTATTCCAGGTCCTTTGAGTTTCTCCTGAATTTCCAGATCAGTTATTCAATGAACACAAAGGAGCCAGCTGGTGTTGTGATAGGAATTGCACTGAATCTGTGGTTCAAGTAGTACAGCATTTTCTTCTTAATAATATTAAGTCTTCCAACATTTTGTCATGGAATATATTTCTTTCTTTAGATGTCTTCCATTTCTTTCAATACTATTTTGTAGTCTCCAAATTATGAAGCAACATTTACTCACAAGCATTTTGTTCTTACAATTTCATTATAGATAGAATTGATTTTTCCTTTATGTGTGTGCATACACATTCATGCATGTAAGTATGCACATGCAGGAACACAAGCACATGTGTATGCATACATGTCAAGCACAGAGTTGGATGTGTCAAGTGTCGTCTTCTATCGCCATTCACCTTATTCATTCATTCATTTATTTATTTATTTATTTATTTATTTATTTATTTATTTACAACAGGATTTCTAATCGAATCTGGAGCTCACTGATTCAGCAGGATTAGCTGTGTGGAGAGCTTTAGAATCCTCTTGTCTCTAGCTCTCCAATGCTGGAGTTCCAGGCAAGTGCCACCGTGCCTGGCTTTTTATGGAACTGCTGGGGATCCACACCTGGGTTCTCATGATTGATAAGCAAGTGCTAATCCTGAAATTCCCCAGAAAAAAACAGTTCCACCCTTTTGGCCAAATTTTTATTAAAATTTTTAATACTGACCAAGGTGGAGTTTGGTCAGGACCATCACCTGGAAAGTTTCCAGGTAAGGCGCCTCAAGACACATGTTGGTACCCATAGGCCACCATACTTTCCCATGAGGCTTTGTTATTTTCCAAGACCTACAACTCCCAGAATCTCAGAAAGTTACCTGGTCCTTGGAAGTTACCAGGTAGGGATTACTGGTTAACTTCATGTCTAACACAAGAACTTCAGCAAACATGTGCTCTTCTCAGCCCACATCCCTCATTAATTTTGAGAGAAATCTATGTCTCCCCACATTACTTGTCAGGTTCCTGTTTTTCTTGGGTTTTAGCAGTTTTACTGTAATGTGCTTTAAGGACGATTTCACTTTATTTCTTCTTACAGCCTGTAAGTGCTCTAGGATCTGTGATCTAATAGTCTGTCAGTTTTCTTGGAGCCATTATTCTTGGAGGAAGTGGGAATGGGGGATGGGTTGGGGAGCAGGAGAAGGGAGGAGAGGAGGATCTGTGGTTGGTATGTAAGATGAATAGAAGATTTCTTAATAATAAAAAAAGAAAGAAAGAAAGTCAGCACATCTTCCCCAGATTCTCCTTTGCTGACTAAACATCTTGGACTTTACCCCAACACCTCTTTGTTTTATCTTCTGACTAATGTATCGCTCATTTTAAACTTTTCCTTACTTTGCTCTAGCTGTTTTTTCTAATGTATCTTTCTTCAGCTAAGCTTAAATAACTATAAGCTTACTCAGTGTGTAAATTGGTTTATTCTGTTTTTAATCTTTAAAGAATGGCAGAAAAATCCCAAGTTTACCTCTTATCTCTTTGAACATAACAGTGTTATTTAGAATATAGAAGCAGAGGCATGAACGTCATTACAAATTGGACCAGCCTGGTCTATACAGTAAGTTCTAGACTAGGCAACCACAAACTAATGCCCTGTCTCAAAAAAAAAAAGTCTATTTTTCTATTACCTGCTTGTTTTGATAGGTTATATTCATGTCAAATTGTCTTTAACACTTGATCATTTATTTTTTTTAATTCCTTGTCTGACACTGATTTGCAAGATAATTTTTAAAAAATAATTGGAGACCTGGACTGGTGCTCTCTTCTTTTAGAAAGTATTGTATTTGCTTTACCAGGCTTGGAAAACACCAGCAGTCTACAGTTTCTTCACAATTTAAGACTAAATGTTTGGTCTTTTAAAGACTTACCTACCTGTTATGATCAACAGGCAAAGGTCGTATTTTAATGATGTATTGTCTATTGACGGAATCCCATTCATTATTTTCTGTTAAGTGGCTCCCTCCCATGAATGCATATGTTAAGTAATCTTCAAGCCTTATTAAAAACTTAACTTGTAGGAGCAATAATTGACAGTTGCCTGCACTGTTGAGAAATTTCTCAATCCCTCTGCTAGTACAGTGCAGTTGGTCATCGTGGTTCATGTATAAATTGTAGCATAGTTATGAGTTCTTACACTGCCTGGATTAGGCTCCTTAATGCTTTCTCACACCAAGAATGTTCCAGTAAGTTAGATATCTTCCTGCTGGAAATGCTCTTCTATTGTGGGAAGAAGAAGTTTGAGGATTCAGAACTGTCAGTCTGGCACATTCATGAAGAGAAAACCACGAGGAGCTTCGGGGAGTCAGCTTTGGTCTCCAGTCCTGGGAGCACAAGTCTTCCTGAATGTGTCTCAGCACATGTGCGCATGCCTGCCTTCATCAGATGGAAGCCACACCTGCCCTTAAACCTCTGCACTCCAGACGGCTGCCAGTGATCCTAGCAGCCGTGCTGTATTGGAAATGCAAAATGAAGCTGTTTAACAGCCCAGCTTTGATTGCTCTCAGTGGCTAGGTCTAATTCTCTTGTCACTGACTTTTTTTTTTAGTTCCCAAATTTGTGTCTCTTATTTTACTAGCGGTGCCAGTACATCTAAACCTTTGTATTTCAGTAGATGTCTTAAGAGAGCACACAGAGTAGACTTGAAAAGGGGGAAAGAAAAAAGCCACAAACACCAAGTGGTCGGATTATTCCCAGGATAATCAAGAAACGGCAATCCCTTAAGGCAGTGGTTCTGAACCATCCCAATGCTGTGACCCTTTAATACAGCTCCTCATTGTGGTGACCCCCAGCCATAAAATTATTTCATTGCTACTGTGTAACTGTCATTTTGCTACTGTTGTGAATCACAATGTAAATATCTGATATGCAGGATATCCGTTATTCGGCCCCTCTAACAGGGTCTTTCAATCCCCAAAGGCGTTGCAACCCACAAGTTGGGAACCACGATCCAAAGGAAACACTCTACAGGAACTGAACATCTGCAGTAGCCTCTAAAAACAGCTGTCAACCAGTGTGCTTGACCCCGGAAAAGGAGGAAATGTTCCCAGGAACTGCTCACACACTCCTCCATACAGATCCTCTTTTAGCTTCATGTTCTAAGAAAGTTGTTTTTCAAAGAAAACAAAATACATCTTCAAAGATCTATAATAGTTACATAAGAAAACCCAGGGTTATTATTGTAGCCCACTTATGGCTGGCACATAGACCCCCCCCCTAAAGCCGGTATTCTGTAGATGGACAATTCCCTCAGCTTTAATTTGTTTTCTTTCCTTACATTCAGGTCTTGATTTCTTGTGTGTTGTTACAAAACCAGAGCAGGACAACACCCAAATGAACAGGAACAGCAAAATTGAATATTTGGATATTTTCATTCTAATGGCATATGGCTCCCGGTTAGATCGATATAGAGGGTCAATTTGTCATCCAGTTTTACATCTAGCATAGTTAGAGAAATTGTTACACTAGTTTCATAAATCAAGAAGTCACAGGCATCAGCCCCATCAATCCAGTCAATTTTAGGTTAAGTTTCTGAGTCCTGGAAATAGACTGGGTTTAGGTGTTAGCTTCACGATCATTAGCCAAGGAAAGCAAGGGCTATCTTTATCTCAAGTCTTACTCTCTATTTTAAAGTGCTTGGCTCACACATGAATATGTATGTGTGAATCCATATATATATATATGGATGCTTGAAAATTCTATTTCCTTGGGCATGTTGTATACAACTCTAATTGACTAACTACCAGTAACCTCAGTCACACTGCTGAGTTCCTTCTGAACTTTTTGGTAATCTAGATTATTCTGATTCTGTAGGTGACAAAATCCAAATCCTATTGTGTACTGTAATTAATTTCAACTTTAATGTATAAGCTATAACTTCCAGGGTAAATGAAGAAAAGTTTGACAGATTTTACCATCTTCTCAAACATCAGCGTGAAGAATCAGCATTCCTCTCTATACAATCAGAACCAAACAGAAGTTCAAAGAGAACATTTGAAATACAATATGAGCCAAGCATTAGAGTGATGGGGCAAGCTCATCTGTTCCTCTGGGAAGCAGAGACCCTAGAGAATGTGAGGGAAAACTGTGTCCATAGCTGGAGCGAGAGTGGGGCTGAAGCACAACAGAGTTGGGGGATTCTAAGCTACCCCATATGGTAGGTAGGTAAGCAGGTAGGTAGAGGAGCTGGGAGAGTCAGCAGAACTAGAGGAGTGAATTAGGATGGAGGAAGTTTGGGGGTTGGCTTTTGCATACATGGACTTTGCACCATTGAGGGATACCCAGCTGTCTGAGCACAAGGTAGCTGGGACTGTCACATGAGCCTGTAATGTGAAGAAGTCCCAGATGCTACTTCTTATTTGGGATCCTTCGGCAGAGAGGCCATATTTGCAAGAATGAACTAGAGGAAACTAGCAGAGGTCTGTCAAACCTTTGGCAGGAATGTTCGTGGGCAGAGAGGGAGAGGCCTCGAAGTATTACAGGAAGGGTGCAGTCAGAAATCTAGGTAGTTATTACTTCCCTCAGGGGGTTATTTCTGCTAGCTTCAAGACTGAGTCCTACTGTTTCAGTTAATGATAGAAGATGAAGAAAATAGCTAGGAGGAGGGGAGTTTGGTAAATATGGAGTAGGCCAAGGCAACTCAATGGACTGGGTGGAAATTACTTTTTGTTACCATTGGCTTTCAAGCTTCTTTTTTACGAATGTTGATTCAAACTCGGTTTATTTTTCCAGTGTCCTGGTCTTGAATAAATCTAGGTTGGCTAAATCTAGACAAATAGTCCCAATTCTAATAAATTGTTACTATGTAACATTTAGAGATATTCTAAGCCGTGTTTCAGACTAAATTATTAAAGCTGAGGTTATAATGGACTTTAAATGGAAAGTAATTAATTGCATACATTCATCCCAGCTATTGCTGTGTGATTTCTTTTTCTAATGGTCCTTGACTTCGAAGTCTTAAACATGAAGACGGCATGAATGGGATATGCATTTGGTTGAAACCATACATCAAAGTTTGAACTTTTATGTTTCCCTGGGTGAAGAGAGTAGGCGAAGTTTACTTATCTTGTCTTAGCTCCAGGCAGCAGGCAATCACAAGAGGAAATTACATAGTGTGTCCACTATAGCACCCTTGGTGGCTATGATGTTCACAATGTAATGTTCACTAAATTCATGTCTGTCTTGAGATATTTTTGGAGACACTCATTAAGACATAATTCCACGGTAAGGGAGGAGCTGTGGACTTACACTTATTTCCATATTCCCACAAAGATGACTGTAGTGCTGTGACTGGATTCTTCCATCTGAAAGTCCCTATGTTCTCCTGGCTGTAAAACAAATTTCAGCATCTTTTGTGATCTTCAAAGCATCGTGGGTCCTAGCTACTATCCCCACTGTGCCATAACCATTATCCATGGCATCAACACCACAAAAGATTTACAGAGCTTCTAAAAGGCAGGCACTCACTCATCTTCTTCCTGGCTAGTACACTGTGGCAGAGAAGCCACATGAAAGGACAGTGAATGCTTGTAAGAGATGGCTAGTAAGCCAGAGCAGCTTTTCTTCAAATAGCCCCTCAAAGAAACAAAGCTGTCCAGTGTGAAAGAGAGTGGATCTTTCAGAACCATGGTCTAGGAGACTGTGGATCGGAGCCCACTAGTTAGCAAAGGCAGAGAAGATAAAATGTGCACAGACCACTAGAATTAGCAGAACAAGCTGGAGGCAGGTCCGGTCTTGTGAAATCCATGTGCAGATGCTGTTGGGTGACCACCTGGTCCAACCCCATGCCATCCTCTCCTTCTTTCTCTGTTGTCACGTTGGCCTCTTACTGTTTCTCAAACACAAACATACGAAGCCCACTCCAGACTACAGTGCTGGGATGTTTCCCCCCATGTTAGGGTAAAGCTTTCTTCCTGGTATCACTTTGGTTTCTACTCTGCTCACATCCCTGAGGGTCTTTGATCAATGACTCTCCCATGCCACTGTGACAATCACCATTTTATTTTCTTTCTAGCCAACTCCATTGCTTCAGGTCACTCACTGCTTATTGCTTTCTCCTCACTCAGCTGCAGAAGGCAAGTCTGTCTGCTTCTTCTGTAGTGACTCACCCTTAGCACAGTGCCTAGCACTCAAGAAATAAATGGTGAGTTGTAGCTAGAGATTTCCTGCCTGGCCCACGGTCAGGACAAATCTCTCTTACCTGCCGGTCCCACAGCTGCTCAGTAAACACACAGAGACTTATATTGCTTACAAACTGCATGGCCGTGGCAGGCTTCTTGCTAATTGTTCTTATATCTTAAATTAACCCATTTCTATTAATCTATAAGCTGCCATGTGGTGCATGGCTTACCGGTATCTTAACACGTTATTTCTCATCATGGCGGCCGTCAGGGTCTCTCTGCCTCAGCCTTCCACTTCCCAGAACTCTCTTCTCTGCTTGTCCCACCTATACTTCCTGCCTGGCTACTGGTCAATCAGCATTTTATTTATACAGAGGGATATCCACAGCAGTGAATGTAACTGGACACCTCCCTCTCAATCTGACCCTCCTTTGTGTCTCTTCAGCAGACTCATACTCTTCTTCACAATCTTTCCTTGCAAGGATTCTAAGCTAAAGTACTGACTATTCTAGCATGTCAGAAAATAAACAATAAATGAATAAACAGTCTTCCTTGACCAGAAATTGATTTTTGTTTCAGTTACCAGCTTGCTACTAAACCACACCAATTTCCCTCCTATCCTTACACCATCACACACAGAGTTACAAACCAATCAGCCATCAATTATCTATTTACTACGGTACTGTGTCCTAATGTGTCAGTCAGCTTTGGTCACTAAGACAAACACCTGAGAAAACTCAACAAGCAAGAGGAGATTAGTTTTGGCTCACAGCTTTGCCAGTTTTCAGCTGATGGCCAGCTACTTGCATTCAGGCTTGTTGTACAGGTGCTGGTGAGCAAAACTGGGGAGCAAATTGCCACCCTCATGGCTTGGCACTAGAGATGGACAGGAAGAGATAGGGCACACAGTACTCTTCAAGAGTACATGCCCAACAATCTAAGGTTTCCCAGTGGCCTCCACTTCTTAAGGGCACCCCCCCTACCTCCCAGGAGCATCACAAGCTAGCAATCACGCACCATTCAAAATACAAACTGTCATATAGAACTTTGAGAATACGGAGGTGAAGTGCAAAGACTTCATTTTTCTGTTTCATAGGGTGCTTACAGTTCAGATAAGGCATTAAACATATAAAATCCAGAGAATAGTGTAATACTTCACCTCCTTATCCCAAAAGTGACAACAACTGTGAGGCAGAGAGAGAGAGAGAGAGAGAGAGAGAGAGAGAGAGAGAGAGAGAGAGAGAGAGAGGTGTGTTTTAAACTTCAAAACTGGCTCCCAGTGACACAGTTCCTAGGCCACAGGTCCTAATCCTTCCCAAACATTTACACCAACTCGGGACCAAGCATTCAAATATATGAGCCTATGGGGCCATTCTCATTCAAACCATGCACCACTAGAGATAGATCTAGGGCTCAGTCTGCTAAGAGAGAAAAGCATTTCAGGCAAATTGAATAGGCTTAAGAAGAGCAACCATAGCTTGTCTGTTGATTTTGAGGAGGCTGGATTAAAAGAGAGTTTATGTTGGGTGGAAGCAGAAGTAAGGTTGGCTAGCATCATTGAACATATGGGACACTCAATAGAAGCATTGTTGTCTGAGAAGAAGCATTGAAATTCTATGTGCAGTCATCTCCCCACATCCCAATCTGTAGAGAAGATAAAGACTTCTATTGTTGACTAATACCTTCCAGAATGTCTCCTACAAAACTCTCTGAAGGGTCTGTTCAGAATAGTGCTAAAACTTCAAGTTGAAACTTTTAGCATTTATATGTGTGGGTTTTTTTTTTATAATGCCCTTCTGCTATTTTTGACTGAAATAATTTGGTTGGGAGGAATGAGAAAAACCATCTTTAGTGAGTGGCTTTCTGACCATGAATGGATCTTTGTGCTATCTCATCTTAAGAAACTTGCTTTCTCAGCTATCAGCTACAGCTTCTGGGTTCTCTCAGGGTTTGCAATAAACATTTATTATATGCACTCTGGACATACATGGTTTAATTTGATACTATTAACTTAAAGATTATTTTGATTTCCCCATCTTTCTCAATGTTGAAGGGAAGAAGAAAATTTGTAGAGTATGTATTCCAGACCAGTTAGCATAGACTGAATACATTTACTCATAGGTCTCCATGGATTAACAGAACAAAGCTATCTTTCCATCATGGCATGGCAGAAGTCCTGCTCCACACAGTTTCTCAGGCCCCAGATAACAGAGTGCCATCAATTACAACTCAAGCATCTAGAAGATATGATCTCCTTGACCCCTCGCTAGGGAAGGGAGCATGAAAATCCCACCCTGGATATTGTGTGCTTTCACACATTGGGAAGAAGTGGTCTCATAATGCCACATAACTGAGGCATCTAGGAAATGTAGCCTCCCATGAACGCAGAGTGGGGAGCAGAGCCAGATTCTGGCAAACACGGTTGAGGTCCACTATTACCTGACATGAAGGCAATATGCTTCATGTTTTCTGTAAGTATCCATGAAAAGTTTAGGAATTAATAATATTAAAAGAATAAAGGAGAAAAATGCATAGGAAGAATTCCATATGAAGTCTGAGAAGGAGATTCCGTGATGAATTAGCAAGCCAAGAATGCTGACTACCAAGGATTGTGGGCACCATTATAAGCCAGGGGAGAGGCATGAAAGTTTTTCCTTCAGAGCCGACAGAGGAGCAAGACACTGTGGTCCGTTCTTGTAATCCAAGCACTGAAAAAGCTCAGACAGGAAGATCGAGATTTTGAGACGAACCTCAGTTACTTAGTGAATCCCATGCCAACTTGGGCTACACAGCAAGACTCTCTCTGTCTCTGTCTCTTTGTCTCTATCTCTCTCTGTCTCTTTGTCTCTGTCTCTGTCTCTCTCTGTCTCTCTCTGTCTCTGTCTCTGTCTCTCTCTCTCTCTTTCTCTCTCTCTCTCTCTCTCTCTCTCTCTCTCTCTCTCTCTCACACACACACACACACACACACACAGAAAGGAAAAAAATAATAAAGCAATATGTTGACTATTTGCAAATCAAAAGGAAGGAAGGAAGGAGAGAGAGAGAGGGAGGGAGGGAGGGAGGGAGAGAGAGAGAGAGGCAGTAGGATGGTAGAAAAGCACAGAATTTGCAGAATTTGTTAACAGATAAATATCTTTGGGTCTGCATCTCAGTTCTGGTTTTCACTGTAGCTGTGAGACAAACTAGCTGACATTTCAATCCTTCGATGACGGTTTTGATCAGACTTCTTGTTAGTGTGCAGTCTGTACTATTGTCCCTCCTTGATGCTACTGTATAAAAACTATTATTAAGGTGGTTTTTTTGAGGAAAGGCATTGTTAGTCCTAATTTTGCCTCTTGTGCTTCATCCAGTCATAAGCATCTGACAATGCTTATTGAGAGAAAGCTCACCTTGCAGCAGCCGTCTTTTGCAATCACAGCTCAGGAGATAGTGAGGTTGATAATGATACCAAGGTACCTTGCATAATTCTAGAAAAAAAGCATAACTACAATAAATACTTTTACAAATTCTCAGGGTGATTTAATCTGTAAGTTTACTGAATCATAGGTATTATTTGAAGCGGGTAAGGCCAAAAGCACTGGGCCATGCCTTAAGCAAACAAAGAGCCCTGACATGCGCAGTGGCATCCTGACATCCAGAGGACCCTGAAACCGAACCCCCAAGATGACCACTGCTGACATACGACCCAGAGCCAACCAGGAAACACCATGGCAGCTGGAAGCAGAGCCCGCCAAAAAGCATACACATAAA